GCGTCTTGTTCCCTTCCGGCCACCCCGCCTGGTTTTCTCTTTAGAGTCAACAGCTTCTGGGTGGTTTCTCACCCAAAGGCCCAGTGCGGTTGGGGACAATGTGTCTTTCCCCAAACCAAATCACTGCGGTTCTTCCCAGACTGGGATGGGAGGAATCGGAGCATCCTAGTCTAGCCATGGCTGGGTCAATATGGAAGGCGCCCAGCTCCCTGCTGCTGTCTGGGGACGGCCTAGGTGGCCTGGGATACCTAGTGTCAGCTGGTGCCAAAGAAACCGCCCGAATCACGAGGAAACCTTGTGTCTGGATCTGGAGTCTGTAAACCGCCTGGGGGTAAAAGTGGTCCAGCCAGGGCTGGTCTCCTTCGCCCTCTGCTGGGCAAGAGGTAAATCACTCTAAAACTCTCTCTGGGACTTCCTAGACCTTTTGAGAGAGGGGCTGAGAGATGAGGCAGGTGTTGGAAAGCTATAGCTCACCCTCCTAGTAAAACAGGTCGGGAAACTGAGGCTCAGAGAGGCCAAGAGACATGTCCATATCCATCAGCCACTCTACGAACAAGTCAGGACCACAATTTGCATTGATAATTTCACCAAACTGTTTTGGTGTTTTGAGACAAGGGTCTCCACTTGTATCTCAGGTTGACGTCCAACTCGGGGTCCTCCTGTCTCAGCCTCCTGCAATTATTTTTTTTAAGGAATTTATGTTTAAAACAGCGTCTCACTATGTAGCCCTGGCTAACTTTGAACTCACCAAGCCCTACTCTTTAAAAAAACTTTTAAAATATTTTATTTATTATTTATTTTATGTGTATGTTATGCCTGCATGTAAGTGCACCCGTGTCATGCCCATGGAGGACAGAAGAGGCTGTCGGATCCCCTGGAACTGGAGTTACAGACAGTTGTTAGCTGCCATGTGGGTGCTGGGATTCAAACCTGGGTCTTAACCGCTGAGCCATCTCTCCAGCCCCTAAAAATATTTTTATGCTTGGGCCTCATGGCACATGGCTTTAAATACCAGCACTTGGGAGGAAGAAGCAGGGAGATCTCTGTGAATTTGATGCCAGATTGGTCTACATAATGAGTTCCAGGCCAGAAGATGAGACCCTGTCTCAAAAAAAAATTATTACATTTATTTATTGTTAGGGGGGGCATGCCATGGTAGGTGTGGAGGTCAGAGGACAACTTGCTGTTGTCAGTTCTCTCCTTCCATCATGTGGTGCCAGGAATTGAACTGAGATGGTCAGGCTTGGCAGCAAGTGTCTACCCAACTGAATCATCTCACCAGTCAACCTCCTGGAATTATAATCATTGCTACGTCACTCAGATTGCTTTTAAATGAATTACAGATATTTTAAAAACTCTAATAGGTTTAAGATATATTTATTGTTTTTAACTCCATGTGTCTGTGTGGGTGTTTGTGCGCACAAGTGGAGTGCAGTGCCTGCGGAGGCCAGAAGAGGGATGCTTTGGAGCTGGCTTTACAGGCAGTTGTGAGCTGCCTGACATGAGTGCTGGGAATCAAACTCAGGTCCTCTATAAAAGCAGCAAGGGGGGCGGGGCTGGAGAGATGGCTCAGCGGTTAAGAGCACTGACTGCTCTTGCAGTCAGTTGAACCGGGGTTCAATTCCCAGCACCCACATGGCGGCTATGAGCTGTCTTTAACTCCAGTTCCAGGGGACTCAGAAGCCCTCTTCTGACCTCTGCAGCATTGCATGGCACGGGTGCACTCACATACATGCAGGCAATACACTTGTACACATAAAATAAAAATAATAAATAAAATATTAAAAAACAAAACAAAACAAAGCAGCAAGGGCTCTTAATCACTGAGCCATCTCTCCAGACCCCAAATTCTAGTAGTTTTAAATTCTAATACTGTGGATACTGATAAATCAAACCCACCTCAATGAAACTCATCAGGGTATTCAAATTTTAAGAGTGCAAATGGGTCCTAAAACCAAAAACCTGTAGGACAACTCCTGTGTCAGGGAACCACCTCCCATCCATCATACTGCCCTCTTTATGCATTTCATGCTTCTTTTCACTAAAGAAATGACCTTGTTCTATTCTGGATGTGCTTATGACCTTGTGAAAAAGCAGGCTTGACTGCAGTAGGTCTGAGGTGGGGCTGAAACTGCATTTCCAACCAGTTTTTACATGAAGCTGGTACTGTTAGAACCCACTTTTTGGGAATTGTGGCTCTAGACTTTGGAGACGCTAGACTGTGGCTCTGTCCATGGAGATGGTAAAAGCAATGCACTTGGATGCACCATGTAAGGAATGAGGTTTCCACAGTTGGGCTGAGGATGTATGTACCTCAGTGATAGATTGCTTACCTAGTGTGTTTGAAGTCCTGGGTTCCACTGCAGAGAGAGAGAGAGAGAGAGAGAGAGAGAGAGAGAGAGAGAGAGAGAGAGAGAGATTATATAATTAGAGCTGGCCTGAACCAACTCTTTTCTGCTCAGCAGTAAGGACCACTGCAGAAAATTGAGGGTCAGTCTATTTGCATATTGAGACAGACAGGAAAAATTGTGTCAGGGCTTAAGAGGAAGTGGGAGTTATATTGCTGAGATAAGAGATGTTAAGCTAATTCAGCCATAATTTTACAACCAGCAAGATTCTTCACCAAATCCCAAAGCATATGCTAAGTAGTTGAATGGTGGGAATTTCAGATGTCAAATGGAAAAAACAAAACAAAACTGAAAACAATAACAAAAGCCTTACAGAGGCTGGGGGTGTGGCTTAGTGTCTGAGCATTTTCCTAGGATGTGAAAGGTGCTGGGTTCAATCCCCAGCACCTCAAAAAAACAAGCCTTTCTAGGGGGTGGTTGGGTGGGGGATTTCTCAATACACCATATAACTTTTTGCAGTGGGGTGGAAAATATATTTAAAAACCAAACTGTAACTGCTTCTGCTATCTAAATTGGGGTGTTAATATAATTTACATCAGTGGAAAAATGAATCTCTACCCTGGGTCTTTCCACTCACAGAGGGAAGAAAGAAGAGCAAGGTGGTGGGTTCTACGCCTGGGAGGGGACCACAACCTCAGACAGCTCAGGCAAGTCACACAAACCAGAGAGGTTGGTGTGCTATGAAAAGAATGGTCATTTTGCCCCTCTGCAAGCTGAAGGGTTAGCCATCCCTCAGATTGACCCTGTTGCTACCATGTTTGATTGAGCACCTCCTGTTGTTAAATCTTCCCATCCTCTTGCCTCATTTTCCTGACTTCTGGAATTATAGGTGTGCATCACTATACTTGTTTAGCACTTCTTTTTTTTTTTTTAATGTCAGAATCTAATCTCCCTCACGGTGTCTGCTAGGCCAAGGAAAGCCAATCTTCCCAGGTCAGAGATTAAGGGTTAGGAAGTGGGCAATGTGGTCTTTCTTCTCTCTCTGTTTTTTTGATTGATTTATTTTTATTTTGTGTATGTGAGTGTTTTGCCTGCATATAGATAAGTGCATCCATGCTGTGCAATGCCAGTGGAGGCCAGAAGAGGGTGTGGGATCCCCTGGAACTAGAGTAAAAGATGGTTGTTAGCTACCATGTGGGTGCTGGGAACCAAACCCGAGTCCTCTGGAAGAGCAGCCAGTGCTCTTAACCACTGAGCTATCTCTACAACCTGCAATGTGGTCTTTCCTTAAGCACTGAATATTCTCTGAGGTAAACCATCCCTGAAGAGAACATGATTTGAGTATTTTTGTGGGAAAGAATACATTCAAATTGAGAAGGGCCTTGGGAAACAGAGCAGTAGAAAAATGTGAGGGGCAAAGACAGTAGAGTCAAGTAGGCTGGGCCTGAAGAACAGGGACAGGAGACAGCTCCTATTTAAGAACTGCTTGTTTGTTCATTACATGATCAGGCAGAATGTTTTACCTCTCCCTAGAGTGTTTACTGTTTCATTTAAAAAATATTTTTTCATTTTATGTGTTAAAAAAAAAAGTATTGCTTGTTTGCACAGAGACTGGGCTGTGGCAGGGACTGTGCCTTGTCTAGGAGAGGAAGCAATGGGGTGGATGGGGGATTGGGTAAAGATGGAAAGAAAGGAATCTGTGTTCTACCACCTTGGTGTGGGAGCTGAGCAGACAGGGGTTAGCAGCTGCCTGAGGCAAGATGCAGGAGAACAAGTGTTGAGGATGAGGCCGAGCCTGTGGGCTGAAAGCACAGAGTCCCAGGAACTTCCAGAGAAAATAAATGGGACTTGCCTGAGGAGGCCTTAGGGGCTCTTCAGACATATATTGTGTTCCAGACAGCAGATGAAGCCCCAGCAGGCACCTTGGTGAAAGGGAGCAGCTGTTGTACAGGGTATAGTCTTTTCACTTCCCTGAATCTCAGCTTTCCTTTAAAACTGATGATAGTAATAATACCCAGGTTTCTTTTCAGACGGTATATATACCTTCTATTAAGATGAGTAAAAATGACATTGACATCATTTTTACCCAAGAGTTTCTGAGAGGCACAATGAGGCAGTATTTGAGGAACACTCTGTGGAAAGAAGAGACCCTGTCTCAAAAAAATTTATCGTGCCAGTATGGTTGTGGCCACCATTAATCCCATCACTTAGGAGGCAGAAGCAGGCAGATCTCTGTGAGTTCACGGTCAGCCTGGTCTACATGGTGAGTTCCGTGCCAGTCAAGACTACATAGTGAGACCCTGTCTCAAAAGAAAAAAAATATATTTGTACATATATATATATATATATATATATATCATTACAGCTGGGCACTTGCAGAGTGCCAGTGGCATCCAAGTTACTTCTAGTACCATCCACTGACAGATCCCTAACAGTAGAAGGAATGGAACATTGCTATCCACATTGCACAGACAAAAAAACAGGTTTCAGAGAGATAAAGTTACCTAGCAACTGGAAGAACCAGGTGTGAATGATCATAAATATTTTACTGTTAACTACATTGTAGGATGTATGTGTGTGTTACCCTTGTGGTATCTGGCACAATTTTTAAAAATTAGCATCTCAATCATCAGCTGGAAAGAAAACATTCTGAAAAATACAGAAGGCTTCACAAATTTTCATGTCTCATTTGCACAGGAGCCATGCTAATCTTCTCTGTATTGATCTGCTTTTACTTACGCGCTGCTGAAGTCTGCACACACCCTGTAATTTTAATTGTCTTTAATGTTATACTTGTTTACATATTGGAGGCTCTTTATTGGGGAGTGTGTTTGGTGGGGGTGGGGGTGATACAAGGTCTCATATAGCTCAGGCTGGACTTGGACTCATTAAGTAGCTGAGGATGACCTTGAACTCCTGATCCTCTTACCTCCACCTCCCAAGAGTACTAAGATTACAGGTACGCACCACCACACTCTGCCTCATGTTGGAGACTTTGAATCCTGTGAGCTCTTTTAAACTGGTAAGTTGGTACTTATTCCAATGCTTGTTCACTGTAATTTTAAACAATTATTTTGAGGGCTGGAGAGATGCTCAGCAGTTAAGAGCACTGGTTGATTTTGCAGAGGTCCAGAGTTCAGTTCCCAGCACCCACATGGCAGCTCACAACCATCTGCAACTCCTGTTCCAGGGGACCTAATGCCCTCTCTGGCCTCTGTAGGTGCTGCACACATATGATACACATACATGCATGTAGGTTAACACTCATACACATAAAAATAAACACATCTTTTAAAAAACCTACCATTTTGATACTTCATTAAACAAATCCCTAACAGATACCTTTCATGTGTCCTGTGTTCCAGGGTCTGTGCTACATATTAGAAATGGCCCTGACAGCAAGACACAGGACCTCCCTCCTCCTTAAAACATACCATGATACCAATAGAGAAAAAGAGTTCAGCAACCATAGTTCCAGGGGCCCAAAGGAAACAACTTTGAGCTGCATCTCAGAGGAGGCCTGAAATGTCAAGGGGAGATGTTGGAGAGTGAGAATGTCCCAGGCAGAGGGAAGAAACACACATTTGAGACATGGGAAAACAAGAGTGTATACATAATGGAGGAAATAAAAGTCATACGCTGTGGTCCACTATGGAGGGCAGTGTGTGTGAGAAATGAAAGGGGTGGGGCTGGGGAACAGGTCACATGTGTATTTAGATGTAAGACAATGGTGTGAGAATATATTATAGTCAATGAAAATAGATTAACCATAATTTTTATTATGTAGTTTATATTAGTATACATTCTATAATACACATACATATATACATTCATGTAATTTTCCTAAAGACCTAAATCAGAATCATGCATCATACTTAAAAAAAAAGTATGTGTATGCATGCATGCCTGTGTATGGGTCTGTGCACATAAATGCAGGTGCCTATGGAGGCAGGAGGGTGTTGCATTCCCTGGAGTTGGAGTTATAGGCTGTTATAAGCACCTGATGTGGAAGTTGGGAAATGAACCCAGGTCCTCTGCACTAAACACTGTACTCTTGACTGCTGAATCATCTCTCCAGTTCTCCCATTATTTGGGGTTTTGTTATTGTTTGTTTGGTTTGGTTGGGTTGGGGTGGATTTTTCTGTACCTTGGGCCTGCTGTATCCAAACCTGTTTTTTCACAAGCTCACAAGCACATTTAAAATAAAAGAAGATAATTTCTTTTTAAAAAATATTTATTATTTTTATTTCATTTTGTGTGTACGAGTGTATTGTTTACATGTATGTAAGTGCACCCATGTCATACAGTGACCAAGGAGGTCAGAAGAGGACGTCAGATTCCCTGGAACTGGAATTACAGCGGTTGTTAACCACCATGTGGGTGTTGGAAATTGAACCTAGGTCTTCTGTAAGAGCAGCCTGTGCTCTTAACTGCTGAGCCATCTCTCTAGCCCCTAAAAGAATGTAATTTCTTGAGCGGAAAAAACTGTGAAGTGCACAAAACAGGGCGATGTGCCTGATGGGAGGTTACCTGACACAGGAGATGTTCTAGAAATTTTTGTATTTTTGCTTTGTTTTGTTTTTGAACAGGGTTTCCCTGTAGCCTCGGCTGGCCTGGAACTTACCATGTAGGCCAAGCTGGCCTCCATCTCACAGAGATCCACCTGCCTCTGCCTCTGCCTCTGCCTCTCAAGTGCTGGGATTAAAAGGCTGCACTAACATGTATGCCCGTTTTTCAAGCTTTGTTGAAGTACAATTGACATATCAAATGGCATTTAGCCATAAGTGATGGCACACGCCTGTAATCCCAGAACTCAGTAGGCTGAAGCAGGAGGATTGCTATGAGTTCAAAGCCAGCCTAGTCTACAGAGGGAGTTCAAAGACAGCCTAGCTATCTAGCAATTCCCTATCTCAAACATTAAAAAGATAAACATTAAAGTTTGATGCAATTTGACAATGCTGTATATCAGGGAAGCCACTACAGTCAAGACAAAAGGACTCCATCCTCCTCAGAGTTGATGCATGCCTTCACAACACCTCCCTCCAAGTCTCTCAGTCCCCTGATGGCCACTAATGCGCTTTCTGTGCCCATTCTAGAACTTAGTAAATCGAATGTAGCATATAAAGGAGATCACACAGTCTGTTTCTTTTGTCCAGTATCTTTCACTCAGCACAATGTGAGGTCTACACTCACTGCATGTGTCAATGAGTTCTTTTTTATTGCTGCGTAACAGTCCTATCACTGCCTTGGAACCTGCTTTTCTCACTATATGAAGGTAACTGGGCTCTAGGTCAGATTGTCAGAGTTCAAATATCAGCCATACTATTTATAAATGGATGACGTTGGATGAGAAACCTCAGTGTGTTACTCAGTTTTCTCAGAACTTAGTGATCAGATCTATTAAAACAGAACCACAGCAGCCCACGGTTGGTAGGCAGGTTGTAGGAGTTGAATGGCACGTGTGCCTGGGTATAGCAATTATTCAGGAAAACTTCAGAGCTGGGGTTGGAGCACACTTGGCAGACTGCTTGTCTAGCATGCATGAAGCCTTGGACTTGATCCTCAGCAGCACATATGCCTGGCATGGTGGTACACACCTCTGTAACAGCGCTCAGGAGGTGAAGACAAGGGGAGCAGAAGTTTGGGTACATAGTGAGTTTGAGGTCAACTTGGGCTACTTGAAACCTGTCTAAGGAAAAAAAGAAAAGAAAAGAAAAGAAAAAGAATATCGTGGCTGGGCTCAGAGATCAATTGCTTGCCTGGCACTTGTGAGGCTCTAGCTTCACTCTCCAGTGCTAAAGGAAAAGAAAAGAATATTATTGCTATGTATATCTGGACACTTTTAAAAAATATTTTATTATTTTATTTTATTCATATGAGTGTATCGTCCCATGTATATAAGTGCACTCACGTCATGCAATACCCAGAGAGGTCACAAAAGAGCATTGGATCCCCTGGAACTGGAGTTACAGTTGTTAGCACCATGTGGGTGCTGGGAACTGAACCCAGATTGTCTGCAAGAGCAAGCAGTGCTCTTAACCACTGAGCCATTTCTCCCGCCCTACATCTATCTGGACGCTTTATGAAAACATCAGACATGTGCCCCTGAGACTAGAAAGCAGGCCAATATCAAGCTCCCTTCTGGTGACATCATACACTCCAAGGCAGCCAAGACTGGTTCCTTCAGTTCTTTGCTCCACAGTCTCCTTTTTGGGCACAAGGGCACCCAGAAGTAGTGGTTGGGTTGAAGAAGAGCTGAGGGGGAGTCTGTCCAGGCAAGAGAAATAAGAGGCAGATAACTACAGTCAGTTTGGCCACAGACAGACATCGCTCCAACAATGAGACCCATGCCTTCCTCCACTGCTCACTAAAATAGCAAATGAAATCATCCCTAACATGCAACACATGCTGTATTTATACCAGTGCATTTCTGAAGCTTCAATACAAAGGAGGAGGCAGGCCCAGGTTTTGACTGTAGTAATAAGAGTCTGCAAGGCTTATCTACATTAATGCTGTCTTTCTGGGGTTAGAAGTCAGTAGCCAAGAAATACTTCTAAACTTTACTCCAGCTTTGGTGTCTAGTGAGAAATGGGTACGGATCCCAGCCCTGGTGTAGACATGCTGTGATAGTATCTCTGGGCTTCACCTTTTTAACATGTTGCTGTTGCTTTGAGACAAGGTCTCAGAGTTGTAGCCTTGAACTTGCTATGTAGCTAAGAATGACCTTGAATCCTTGACCCTCCTGACTCCTGAGTACTAGAATTACAGGCCTGCACCACCACTGTCAGTTTATGTGGTGATGGGGATTGAACTCAGACCATTATGCATGCTAGGTAGACACCCTACCAAATAAGCTGTATCCTCAGTTTTTAAAAACATGGTAAGACAGAATATTCATAGGTGTGGGAGTCATGACAGGTATAGGGACTCACTGATAGTATAGAGGTCTATAGGGAGCACTTCAAAGGCATCTTTCTTTTGGTGTTTGTGACAAGGTATTACTCTGTAGCCTAGGCTGGCTTTGAATTCCTGGCACTCCTCCTGTCTCATCCCTTCAACTGCTGGGTTTCCAAGCATGAGGCACCTGCCCGGCTCCTTGTTATATTGTAAATGAAGATAATAAACACCACCTTAGACTCCTTGGGTGTACAAGGGTATCTGCAGGGAAGTCTGGGTAGACAGTGCCAAGCCCAGTGCCTGGGGCAGAGGAAATGCTGCCTTGCCCACAAGCCTTTGCTGGGTGAGTTTAAGAAATACTCATCTAGCTGGGCATAGTGGTGCACGCCTTTCATCCCAGCACTGGGGAGGCAGAGGCAAGTGGATCTCTATGAGTTAGAGGCCAGCTTGGTCTACATAGCAAGTTTCAAGCCAGTCAGGGCTACGTAGTGAGACTCAGACTCAAAAAACAAAAACAACAGAAAAGAAATAGTCGTCTAACTTGAAGCCTTCTATCTTCATGTCCCTTCTTCAAATGCACCTTGAACAGCAGGCTGCTTTTTTTAGATGCCTCACCAGCTGGACCTGAGGCCCCATGAGAAACAGTCAGAGGGAGCTGAGGAGGTTTATGTAGGTAGCTGAGCGGCACATGAAAACTGTTTTCAGCAGGGCTGACTGTGGAAAGATCCCCCAGAGGTCGGGGCTCCTGGGTAAGTGTCACCAGGACACACATGAGGAACTATCTTGTGAGCAGAGAAGTCTGAAAAGGGAAGTGAACAGCCTCGAGCTTAGTCAGCTGGCTGTGGTATACTTGCTGAAGC